AGTTGGTTCCGTGGTGGCGCTGGCTCGTCACGATGGCAGAAAACATTTCTGTCACATTGACGGTCTGGAAGCCCTTTTTCGTATTCGTGTCACATGTTTCTTTCTGAATTTCTAATGCTCATCCACAGTAACTAGCATAGACGATTGCGGATGGTCGTCTTTATGCTTTTATTCGAGTGAAAAAAGTGGATAACAGGTGATAAACGAGAGAATAAGTCCTTTTTCTAATGAAATACGTAGCGGTTGACATCGAAATGTCAAAATAATGAAATGAAGCCAAAAAGCCATGTCAAAAAAAATCCGCCGAATCGTCAACGACCCCTCGTTTGGTGTTACCCCCTTTGATTGGTGCTAACCAAAAGGTAAGTAAAGATTTTTGGAAGATGAATATCGCTTTTGAATAGATAAATTGTATTGGCATAGTTATCCAAAATAATAATATTTTGTATGTTGTAACAATATGGCACTTTTTAGATTTTTTACAGATCATTTTGAATAAATGATTTATAAAACGTATATTTTGGTTCTGTATTATCCGAAATGTCATTAATGTCTCTGGTTGTCAAATTCCTACAAAAAAGGTAGGAAAGCAGTTTTCTAAATAAAAATAACCTGAATCATCATAGGAAATAATTTAATACCTGAATTTAATACTGTACAGAGTTACAAAAAGTTTCAAACGGGCGATAAGATTTACCTTCCATCTTCCCATCATTTTTACAGCGACAGTGATTAAAATTGAGGTTGGTTTACTTCTATTGCAATTTATAAATTTTTATCAGTGCTGTTTTAATGTATATTATGTTATTTTTTCTAGAAAATAATTACGATATAGTTAGAGGTATTTGTTCTAGAGACGTGTAGCACAGAATTACAACTTTATGTATTGTTTATTAATGTAATGATGGTACTACAAAATCACTTGTACAACCCTCATTAGAATTTATCTGTATCAACATCTATTTTAGTATTACAGGATATGGGATTTCCATTAAGGAGCTTAGGAACAATAATAATATATTTTGCATATCATGATGTTTAATAAACATTTGTTTGTTAATGTTGGAGTTTTTATATGTTTGTATACTGGCAGGCAACACTGTACACACTAAGGATGGTTTTTTAATATTAGAATAATATATAATTTAAATTATTAAGAATTCTACATTTGATGAAATATAGTTAGACTTCACATCTCGACACGGAACAAGTAACATTGTAGGACTAATAGACTTTGTATAAAATATGGTTCAGATATTTTAAATATAATGATGATTAACTAGAAGAAAGTGTTTCAATAGCCCCACACCTCCAGAGCCCCGGACGGGGGAAAGTAACCGTCCAACAGTTAAAATTAAGTAATTGTTTATTTCAGGCATAATGTCTGAATCGACAGTAGCTACTGGTGGTTCTACAGTCAGTGTGGAGGAGCAGCGTTCGCTTGGCACGGCTGCAGGCTCTGGTATTATATTTTTCAAACAACTATAGTCTAAATCACATTCAGTTTGTCAACAACAAACTTAAATAGATGACAAGAATGTTGTCTCTACTGTTTGTATATAGGAATATAGTTTATTGCGCCTTGTACAATGATAACTAGCTACTGCACACACCAGAGCTATAGCAATATAATTCAAGAAAATATTTCCTATTACACACTGAATGGATTAGATATTGAAGGATTTTTAAATATTCAGTTTAATAGAAACAAATTTAATTATGTATAATTCGTATTATTTATTTAATTTTTTGTAAAATGAAACTAATTGTGCGATTTTAATTTAATTTTTTTTAAACTGTTACATGGTTAAAAATGAAATTCCACACAATGGCAATTACTTTCCAACATTAAAGGCCTGTCCCACTGAATTGTAAATTGTCTGATAATAATCCAACATATGAAATATGTGATGGAAATATCAGAATTTGTTCCCTTCATCATTTTTAAACTATCTGAGCATCTATCACGCTGTGGTGGGACAGGCCCTAAATGTTATGTTAATTTATTGTTAATATTTTTTAGTTGGGGATGAGAAAATATACGGAGGCTGTGAGGGTCCGGATGCGATGTACGTAAAGCTGGTCTCCTCAGACGGACATGAGTTCATAGTGAAGAGGGAGCATGCACTCACCTCCGGGACTATCAAAGCCATGCTGAGTGGACCGGGTCAGTTTGCGGAGAATGAAGCTAACGAAGTTAATTTCAGAGAAATACCGTAAGTTTGTTTCACTCAGATTTTTATTACCTGTATTTTGCACTAATATTATAAATGCGAAAATGTACGGAAACATTTTTGTTACTATTTATCCAATATGGATTAATGGATGTAACTTAATAATTTTTTTTCTACTCTGCAAGAATATAGTCACAAAATAAGCTATCATGCTCATAAAGACAAATGTAGTATAAGTAATATTGTAAAATAAGGGTAGCTAGGCCAAATATCTTAATAAAAAAAAAATCTGAGTTTTATTAAAAAAATTGCAATTTGTCTATGTTCATTATAAAAACAAATGTTATCTATGGTTACAGGTCCCACGTACTTCAAAAGGTATGTATGTACTTCACATACAAGGTGCGCTATACAAACTCCTCTACCGAGATCCCAGAGTTCCCCATCGCTCCGGAGATAGCTCTGGAACTCCTGATGGCCGCCAACTTCCTTGACTGCTGAAGATTTCAACATTTAGGGCATTATAATGTTTTTATCGCGACAATTCTAAAAAGCAAAATAATTTTCAATATGCATTACTTTAATTGCTTCATAATTCACAATAAATTTTGTCACTTGATTACTAGTATAAAGTTCTGGTAGTTGTAAAATATTTTATGAATAAGATTTAATTTTGGTACCTATTGCTATTATGTTGGTATATTACTAAAAGTGTTTTTATTGATTGATGATTTAGAATGCCGGTCAGTGTGAACGGGCCCTTAGATTTTTTCAGTTAATACAGTTGTAAGTCTCATGTTAAATGAATTATAAATGTTTTTATAAAAGAAACAAGTTGACCGTCTTAATAGTCGTTATGCTTTTATCAATTTTTAAGTTAGTTTAATTTTTGGATAATCGGTTTTTTTATATCATCTGTCAAAAACGTGCGAAAGCATTTTAAAATTGGATTTTGTAATAAAATGGTACTTGCCTTATCAAATGTTTTATTTTATTATCCTTGTTGACATTTTATACGTCTTGGATTAACTTTTCATTCTCATAAACTCAAATAGAGCGAGCGCACACCTTTGACTAAAATATCGCACAGCTGTTGAGCGATTGTCGATTGTTCCGCAGCCGATTCAACTGTTTAGTTGCA